TGTCTGTCAAAAAATAAGAATAATAAAGAAGAAAAGATCACAAAATATGATGAACTAAAAATTATTCATTGTTAACAATACAAAACGCAGGGCCCTTTTTCATAATCAAGAACATCAACTTCATGAAAAGTAATGCTCATGCACACAGCCATGCAGCAATTTCAGAAACTAATTTCAGCTATTTTAAAGTTGATATTGATTCGAGATTTTATGAAACATATTATTATATTATTTATTATTATACGCCAATGAAATTCTTATATGTAATTGGCTATGAAAACATTTGTCATAGATTTGTGTAAGTTGTTATAGACGATATTGATGCTTTTGGCACATTCATTAGGTGGCACATCTTCCTACATCTTCCACCCCTTTCCACAGTGTAGGCTATCAACAATAAGACGACTCACAAACATGTCCAATTATTAAATGTTCGCTACACTTGAGGATTGAAAAGGATTAATAACTTTCAATTTATAATTATGAAGATTATGATGATGATCTTTGGGTAAACTATATTTGTATGCACAGATAATCACTCACACAAAATGATGGCAATGGAACTGATGTCAATCTGTATGTCAGCAATCATGGCATAGAGAGAGGAAAAATCTCATAAAAATGTCAAATTATTTATATGAAATGCTTTTTGTTCGTTATCGGTTGTGTGTGTTGCGCAGTGCATGTTCGTTTACAATGAATATTTCATAATCTGGCGAAATCCAAATGATTTCAAAGATGCTTACAGAGAAAGTATATTTGTATTGATGGGTCAAGCCTGTTTTAATGGAGAACGTTGCTGTATAATGATCATTTGCCGAAGAACATTGAGCAATATCCTGAAAGTCAGTTCTGAAATGCGTGATCCCAGGGTAACATTTTGGTGAACTATTATTTCTTCCATTAAAAGAGGAGGCTTGAATATCAAACTATTGCAAAAAATTGGCACGACTGATTATGGTTTAAAAGGCAATCTAACCTTGGTAAGAATTTCATCTATCTGAAAGTAATAAAATAAGGGAAACAGAGTAGTGGAAAGGTTTAAAGAAAAAAAACAGATAGCCAAAATTTAAAAAAACATTCGAAATATTTTATAATTATAAGAAATCAATACTTCTGTGCGGATCTCAAAATGGCTATTTTGGCAGTGGATTGGGACTTAGTAGTGGAAAACTCTCACATTTTTCTAAAATATCATCAACTTGTTTTTCCTCCTGATATGATGCTGATTATTATTCGCTCATAACATGCACTCGCAAAGTTGGCATACCGATACACTGTATAGATCAATTTTTATAATTGTGCATTGAATATATTGTGAAATCTTATGCTTTTATCATAACTAAAAGGAGACAAAAAGTGTTTAAAATAATATCTGTATTTTAGATTGGCAGTGTTTTAAAATGGATGAGAATATCATGTTTGTGTAAGACAGTGTATATTAAGTTATATGTGTGTATTTTGAAATATAACAGAATCATATAGATGGCATACATCTAAATGAATCTGGTCAAGTCAGAAATTTCCTGTATTTTTGTTTGTGGAGACATATGTATTATTGATGGTAGCGAAGAACCTTCATCCCTCATTTGATGTATTATGAAGATAGCATATTAAAAAAATTGTACTGGTATGGAAAACGTTATAATCACATGGAATCCTGTATGTTTTCTTTATATTTAGTTTGTGAAAAACATCCATTCACTTTGAGCTAGTATATTGTGCAAAGCATTGGAAATGTTTCGCAGGTGTTGCAGAGTAGGATCGAGTTCAAGTTGTAGTGGAGGTTTTGTGGAGTCATTTTAGCTTGCACCTTGATCACGAGAACACGGAGCTCCGCTAAAACTGACTGAACTCCATAATCTGGAAATTGAAACTGAAATTAACATTAGATATTAGCATGAAATGCAAACAAAATTAATTAGTGACAGTTTGCACCATTGGCTACTGAGCTAAGTTAAGTTTTATAATTGATTGAAATGAGTGTTTATGCTCGAATAACTGAAATTTTGGCTGATTCGGGTGGCAGAAACTATTCCAACTGTAATAATGCCCCCCCCCCTCCCTCCCACTTCCCACCCCACCCCAGATTTTTTAGATACAGATGACCCGACGTGTGCGTGTGTGTGTTTTCGCCGCTTTTACGTGCATGAGAATGTGGAGGTGTATTTTGCCTGTCAACAGCAAGGCAAATGAAATAACAGTGATCAAACAAGTTTTAAGAACAGGAAATTGCGAAAAACAAATTGTTGCCCACCCTATTGTTCAGTGCAGCTGTATTGTGCAATGTATAATTGCGCAATGATATATTTGGCGCTCTTGCCTTATAGTGCAATGTCTGTTAATGAAACTAGGAATAATAGAGAACAAAAGATTACCGAAATTGATAAACTAAAAATTAATTCATTGTTAACAATAGAATACGCAGGGCCATATTCCATAGCCAAGAACATCTACATAATATAAGTAAAATTAATGTTCATACACACATGCATGCAGCAATTTCAGAAGCTAATGTAAACTATTATAAAGTTGGAATTGATTCTAAATGTTATGAAACGTAAATCAGTGCAGTCTCACATCCTAACTGCTGTAAAGCGCAATGTTTTTATTCCGCACTCTAATTAAGCAAGAGCACGGGGGTCACATTTAATCGATCACTACCCCTTTTCACCCCTCTACATCTATATCTGGGCGTTTGTTTTTCATTAAAAACCTGTTGTCAATTACAATACACAATAATGAAAACAAAACATATAAGCTAATGAAATCCTTACATGTGATTTGCTATGAACAAATTTCGCATAGGTCTGTATGAGTTGTTATTGGTGACAAGTTTTATTAAACAGGGCCTTTATCGTTTGTGGCCCATTCGAGTCGACTCAGAATAACGTCCGATTCTCTACACTTGATAATTGAAAAGGATAATTTAGTTTTGACTAATAATGATGATGATAATGTTTTGGTATACAGTATGTACACGTGTATGCACAGATAACCATACACACACAAATAACAGCAATGGAACTGATGTCAAATATGTGTGTGAGCAATTAGGGCATAGAGAGAGGAAAATCTTATCAAAATTTCCAACTATTTATGTGAAATGCTTTTTATTCATTATCAGTTATGAGTCGAATGTGTTGCACAATGCGTATTCGTTTACATTGAATATTTTATAATTTTTTAGCAAAATCCAAATGATTTCAAAGATGTGTAGATTAGATCAAGCATATTTTTCATGAGCATTTTGAATGACACTGAAAAAACCCACCTGTCAGTAATTAGTCAAGGCTTGTTTTTGTAGGAAGGAGGTTGCGGTATAACGATCATGTGCCGAAGAACATTGAGCAATTTCCTGAAAGTGTGATTTGTGTTATCCAAAATTAACATAAACTGTTATTTCTCCTATATAGGATGCTAAATAATCAAAACATTGGCATGGCCGATTATTTTTTCAAGGGCAATCTAACCTTGGAAAGAAGATCATCTATATGAAAGTATACAAAATAGGAGAAACAGGATGTTGACAAGTTTGGATAAAAACCCAGATCGGCAAAATTAAAAGAATATTTGGAATATTTTATAATTATACGAAATCACTACATCTGTGCGAATGTCAAAATAAATATGATAATTACAACATAATTCGTCTTGAAATGCAGTCTTTGCAACGTATTTATTCTATCCTATGAAACTTAACAGGAAGAGCTGCTTACAAGTTTTCACTTCTACCCTTTATTTATCTATACTCAAGTACACGTATTCTTTATTTAAATGTTTTGCAATTTTGTTTAGGAATTAAAGCCTATCTGCACTAGTTTGGCCAGGAGGGAGTAGACCTGCCTGCGTGTTCACTGGCAGGTGGTTATCTCATCAAATTTCATCAAATCGAAACCAACGTAAAGATTCATTGCTGAAACAGATATGATAATATTTTATAGCACACATTTCCACCCTGCAAGGTGCTCAAGGCGCTCCAATATTATCCCGGCTCTGCTAGGCCACCGATTTCGGTGTTCGATACTAATTACCGTCTCAAACGCCTTCTGAAAACTATTCCCAACGTCATCGGATTCATTCACGCACAATGTGCATCATCTGCACTCCCTGGGAGGTATTCCTAACATATGATAATCGTGAGGTCATTATGGTAGTTACTTACGCAAATTATTTCGTTTTCCTGCCAGGTCCCCATATCTCTCTTGGGTATGGAGTGACAAATGTAGACTAATGCCTTGCCAAAGTACAAAGAATATGGTCAAAGGTTGATCATCTAGGATATAAGTATCGGTGTGTACTGCAAGGTTTGGGAATCATCAAAATGATAAGAAACTTTGCCCAGTCTTCGTAAAGTTAGAAACACTGTACACAGAAAGATTTATATGGGACTACGCGATATCTATCCAGGCCAAGATATATATGATGATTTTCCTATTATATCAATAATTAATAGGCGGTTTCCCGGCAAAATTGGAATCATCACGTATTATCCAAAACACATTCTTTCACATGATTTGTAATAAGAGCTTCCATTTCTTTTTCGAGAGGGGTGCGTTTCCAAAACTGGTCTTTACCTTCAAATAACCAGAATAACAAAAGCTTCTAAACGTGATGTTTGCAATACAAAGAAAGGCTACATTAACATTGGCATGATTTTCCGATTTTAAGATGAATTCTCCATACTCTCTTCGGGATGGAGACATAGAACATACAGCCAATGAAACCAGGTCGTCCATTTTCGTGCTCGAAGATCCCTGCCACACTTTTGCATTTTCCATAAAAGAGGAAGTGGAACATAAAGTAGGCGTGGTGACTTTCCTAAAGTGGGCAGGAATATGCAATAAAGCAGATCACGAGACAGTGATGATGAAATTTGTTATTTGTTAAAAGTTCTAGCTGCTTTTATTGCGTAATAATATTCCATATGTTGTATGCATAGAAATACAGTCGCTTGATTACTTTAAATAGTACACGGTATACTCGACGAAGATCATTTGTGAACGAGGATTGCAGAAAATGGCAACTCCAATCGAAGATGCCCATAGCCGGGTGGATACTATCTGCGACCAGGAAAGTAAAACTACGGTCATGTTCGTCGGAGCTCCCGGAGCTGGGAAGTCGTCCTTAATCAACTCCTTGATAAACATCATCGACAAGGATTCTAGGCAGAAGGGTATCAACAGGTACATCCCCACCGCCCCTTCGGACATGATGGGGGGACACACCCTTATGCGGGAGCAGGTGGAATTGACCGATGCTCTGACCATTGTGGATAATCGTGGGTGGCACGACTGGGAGAAAGAGGTGGCTCTGAAAGAGCTAGTCGCTCAGATAAGTAAGGTTAAAAGCAATATTACTTATCGTAGAGATGATGATAGTGATAATAATAATGATGATAATGATGATGATGACAATGATCATGATTTTTATGATGATGACGGTAAAAGAAAGTATTAGTAGTAGGGGCAGCAGGATTAGAAGTAGTAATGATGATAGTAATGACATGAAAGGGATAGTGGAGTTCAGTTGCAAAGGCCCTACACAAAAAACAAATTGTGAGATAATGAAAAGTTGAGTGTCAAATTTGAAAGAGCATACAATTTAAATGACAAAATCATCTTTATTTCATCACAGTCGGTTTAGAGACGGCTGAAATATCCATAAATATAACCATTGGTAATATTTGTGTACCACCACAGATATTACATAATTTGAACCAGCCGTTAAAGAAACAAAATAGCGCCTTATACGTTTTATTCCAGCCAAAGCCGAGGTTGGTTTTTTTGTGCGGCTTTTTCACTTTGGTTATAATACGGACAACCAGCCGGCCCATGAACTGTCATTATTAATTACTTAATTAATTAACGGCCATCGTATTTTTGCATAAGGTAGAGCTGAATTGGTATAATCGTATTGGCTAAATTTCACACATTTTGTCTAAAATTACCTTCATTTGTTATGTTCTAAAAGGGCAGTAGAATATTCAATGTCGCAAATAAGAATAAGAGCAATAACCATGCACTTTGAAGGCATTTGCGGTCTAAAACAAGAACTAAACTTTCCCTGATGATAATAGTAATGATAACGATATTGATAACGAAAACATGAATGATTACAATAATTATAGGAGTAATGATACTACTTCTACTACTACTACTACTACTTCTACTACTACCACTACTACTACTACTACTACTACTACTACTACTACTACTACTCCAGCTTCTACTACTACTACTACTACTACTACTACTACTATACAAATATACACTGCCTTGAGAGGTTCTGGTTAAAACTATGTGCAAGAGGTGACTCCAATAGTACTATTTGCTGAGGGGTGCAGCCCCGAAGCAAATGGTAGTTTTGGAGTCACCGAGGCCCATAGTTTAACCAGTACCTCGAATAGAAGGCATTATATATTTGTTTTATATCCTGCATCACAAAATTATTATAAAAAAAAAAAAAAAACCTTTTTGGGGAAGAAAAAAATTAGAACAAAAAAATGTCAATTTTTATCTAAAAAGATTTAAAATATTTTGTTTTCATTAAATTAAGATTTGAAAAAAAAAATTGATTCAATTCAAAACAAAAAAAAATCACTTTTTTTTCAACTCCCAAATAGTAAACCAAAATAGTACTCTCATATAGTACTTTCTAAAAATAGGTCAAATATTTCTGGTCATGTGACAAGCTCTCAATCAAAAGCCAACAAATTTTTGATGCAGGATATAATACAAACTAGGCCTACTACTACAAACAATAATTAAAATGATAGTAATAACAATAATAATTGTAAAAATTACGGTATAATATGACTGAGAATTGGATAAGTAATGATAATAAGAACGATGATAATGAAGGCAGTAGGCCTAATCATAATAATAAGAATTGTTATGATGATGCACCATTTGACTGGAATTAACACCAATGAATCGAGAATTGAGAATATATTTCAAAGCCTGGTCGAATGTCATATTTTTCAAACACTACATGTTTAATGGTTAAAGGGATCGCGTAATTTTGTCTCAGATTCTGAAAGAAATTCCTGGATTTATCTCATGCTGCAATAATAATTACAAACCTTCAGATCAATCAGGAACCCCATGTTATTCACAAGCCGATAGCCTGCAGATATTTATGATTGGAAATCAAAACCAAATTTTGCGTTTTCCTAACGGTTGTCATAACACTACAGTCTATTTGGGAAAACGAGTATGGTAAAACCGGTCATTCAAATATTGTTACCTTTTTTGAGGCACGTCTTGATCATTTTAAAGCGCAATTTTGTTAGCGCTTCAACATTACACCATATCACAGACACTGATAACACGTAGGGCCGTGCATCTCAGATTTAATACTGTTAAACGATGCCTTTAAATAATGGTTAAGATCGGTTTGATATACCTGAATAATTATTCTTCTTTCAGATGCTCAACGGGCCTTCGTTGATGATGTCGATTGGGAACATGGAGAAGAGGAAGAAGACATCCTGGAAATTCCTCTAGTTATTGCAGAGAAAATAAGCTGTGTAACCATCGTTTTCCCCCACAAGCTTCATCTATTTGATTGTGTTTGCTTTTAAAGCCATACTGTATACTACAATTACTGTCGCGCCGCGCAAAGTCCCCTCTAGAGCTATCTCATGTCAGCCGTAGCAGTATGGTCCCGGGAGCGTTGTTTTTTACTGCGGCACAGATTGGGGTTAGGTGCGTGTTGAGCCTATGGGAAAGTTTAGGGTTAGGGTTAGGGTTTGGGTTAAATCAAGACCTCTTATTTTTTGTTTAAGCCCCAATCTGTGCCGCAGAAGAAAATAACGCGTCCCGGGACGTGCTGTTTCCCGAGCTGAGCTGCGCTCACGATTCCTTGAGTCCTCTCTCTGCGAAGTGGGAATTACTTGTATTGGGTTACCCACTGTAGCCAAGTTGACCATGGGATGGCGCTGTACAATAGACAGTATACGCTAGGGCAGAAAATTCATCAGTTCAGTATCGCTTTAATATAGACAGAAATTTTTAAAAGCATATCAACTACATCTTATATCCATTTGTCAGATTTGTGTTAGTTTGTAGATAACGTGGGTAAATTACCCTGTTCCTAGGTAGCTCATTATGAATCCTCAGTTTTCAAGTTGTTTTTTCCATATCTTAAAAAATGTTGACTTCTTTCAAAGATTAACAACAAATATATATTGACTTCACTTACTTCATCATGTTCAAGAACCATCTATCTAATTTGCGGGCGGTGATTAAAAGTTACGATCCAGTTACGAGGAGCAGAAAAGAATGACATGATGTATGATAATCCTATATACATGTATGAAGCAATATTTTCAAAGCTCATTAATTGATTAATAGTAAATGATTTTTTTTTTCGTCGTTCCATCCCCTTTTCTTTTTTAACTCTCTCCCTTTCTCTTTTCTAATCTTTTCCCCCTCCCCTCTCACCCTCCCTCTCCCTCCCTCCCCTCTTTCTCTAACTCTCTCGCTGAAGTGGGAAAGGTGGTATCGGTGCACTCAAAGGCATGCAGAATCTGGTCAAGACGTGTAATAAAGAGACTGGTAAGATTACATGTAGTATCTGGAGTACTGTTCTGAGAAAAAGATGTGAACAGTCTGCGAATGAATCAAATTTTCAGTTTGTCTTTTCAACTTAGAATGTTATGGATAAATTTGAATGTAGCCGTTCTAATGGTAGGTTTGGAAGTTTAATACTCGCTGTTACCTCAACTAGAACATTTGTTGTAATATTATATACATTACCAGTGACTTCATTTATGTGACTTGTAACCATTAAAATTATTCAACTCTGTTTTAGGTGTTTTTCTTTGTTTGTCTTGTATCATAATGTACCTGTATCTTTTGAGTGTGTATTTCGTTTCATTTCATGTCGTTGTTATTGTCATCACTAAGTAATGTGTATGTTCTTAATTTGTGTACAGCTCAGTCTAAGAGGGACTGCCCTGCTTAATAAATAGAATATTAATGAACATGTAGTAAAAAAAAAATGAATAGATAACACTAAGTATTGAGTACATAGATAGATAGATAATTGAATTGATAATGAAGGAATGACTTAATAAGTACATACACGAATGAAGTCCATCGGCCACCCCTCCCCCAAAAAAATAATTGATGTGAACTTGTCCTGTCGCAATTTGACCAATGTATAAACAACATTGTTTACAAAAAAATGGTAGAAAATTATTTACAATATAGTTTTGATTTTACAAGAATCCTACTTATTGGTATCAAACTGACATTCAGTTTCTGTTTATGTTCTGTTGTTGTGTGTTTGATTTATTAATCAGGTCGGAAGCCATCGGTCGTTGTCACTCATAAAGATCAGATGACTAAGGATCAGATTGAGAAGATCAAGTCTCAGCTGGAGAAAGAGCATGGGATCGGCAGAGAAAGAGTGTTCGTCATCCGAAACAAAACTGATATTGATACCTGTCTTGAAGCTGGCTCAAAATCACGTCTTCTCGATTTCCTTGAACGCTGTATTGCTGATGGTAAAGCCGGATGTAGCTTCCATAACCAGAAAGAAAAGAGACACGAGATCCGAGTAGAGTATAAGAAGAAGGTCGATGCGCATAAGGCCGCAGCAAAAAAGAAGAGAAATGCCGAAGCGATAGAAGTAGCTGCGCAAGAATTAGAGCTCGTGCGATCCGTACAAGAGAAACTAAACCTTGAAATAGCGACAAATAAAGAAAAAGCGTTGGTCGATATAGAGGAAGCTGTGAAAAATGATGAGCGAAAGCATTTGCAGAATATGCAAAAGGAGGAACAAAAAAATTATGCGGCGTTACAAAAGCTTGAGAAAGAAAATGAGCTCAAGCTCATGAAGCATGCTGCCGAAATGGAAGCGCAAGAAATTGCCAAAGTGGTTGAGAGATTAGCTAAAAAGGGCGGACCGTTCATGCATGTACAAATGAAAAGAAAATGAGAACATTTCCCTAAAATCTGTGGTCTTGCAAAGAACATAAAGTTACCTACAATCTCTTGTTTCATTCTTCTTGTTCTCTTTTCCTCAAAAGGTTTGATGTTTTGGGGAAACGAATTATCGAGGAATGCTATTATTTTATGGTCATTTTTAAGTACTTGCACGAGAAAGTTAGTGCCTATTTTTGCAAATGAATGACAACTTCCCCAATGTATTTTTGTTTTGTTTTTGGAGGAAAAGTGCATTGAAATCAATTGTGTACCTGAAAAACTTATTAGAAAATGGGTCCCATGGATTTCTAAATAAGAAATTGATACCCTTGACAATTTCCTTTTTCCTCCTCTTTATCATATCTGCTTGATTCATGTCATTTTCAATCACCCCTACAGACGCAAAGCTAGATTGGATATAAATCCTTTTCAATGCATTATTATGATGCTTTTGAGTTAATCCATGAAGCTGTGCATATTCGCTTTTTGTTTATTTTCAACTAAGATATTATGGTAATTAGCCTTATGTTTCTTATATGAGGAAAACCATAACAAGTTCGGAAAATATAAAAGTGAGTAATTTTGTTCTGTGTGAAAACACGAGCATGCATTTAAATGATGGACCTATCCTTGCTTCTTCGAAATGAATTCATTTCATTCAATTTAATTTCAGTCAATCCGTATTGGGACGTGACTTTTCGACTCGCCTTCTGCTCTACTTATGCCAATTTAAGCCTGTATGTTACAATTGTGTAAGGGGTACAATAACTGTTTAAGGGTGTATTGCATGTATAGTGAGTTGTTAGTATTTTTTCATAAGTAAAGGAACACAATTGTGAAGAAAAAAAAAATATCTGTATTTAAGATGAGCAACGCTTTAGAATAGATACAAAATATTATTCATGTAAGACAATGAAATTCAAGTTGATTTTGTTTACTTTGAAATATGACAGTAATAGGCCTACATGTCTATGAATCTTGTCAATCAAGAAATTTCCTGTATGTTTTTTGTAAAAACATAGCATGTTTTATTGGTGGTTGCGAAACCGCCTTGATTTAAAAAAGGATTAGCATATTTTGCATGAGAATTTCGATTGACATTCAAAAACCTAAATCTGTAATAGACTGGCGAAGGCCTGTTTTTGACGGAGGAAGTTGCGGTATAATAATCATGTGCCGAAGAACATTGAGCAATATCCTGAAAGTCAGTTCTGAAATGTGTGATCCCAGGGTAACATTCTGGTGAACTTTTATTTCCTCTATAAAGAGGAAGTTAAGATATCAAAACATTGTAAAACAATGGCACGACCGATTATTATTTAAATTTAATACATTTTTTTTTGGAGACATATACATTATTGATGGTAGCGACTAGCGAAGGACCTTCAGCCCTCATCTGTCGTATTATTTAAGAAGAAAGAATTATATTAGTAAACACTGTCAACAGCCGTATATTAAAGTTTGTTTCGGTATCAAGAAATGTTTACTGGTATGAAAAACGTTGTACACGAAATTTCTCGCACAGTTTTGTGAATAAATTTGATTTGTTAAACTTTGATAAACTAATTACTTTTGTGCGACTTTCTTTAATATGCGCTTTGTGTCTAATGAAAACGTGCTTTATAAATGTAAGATTATTAATCTTTTGTTTTTGTGTGAGTTAACGGTGATGCCTACAATATAAGTGAGACATGAATGATAACACCAAGCAGCTTACTGAAATAACTGAAATTATATTTTTCCTGTGTGAAAGGAAACCTCACCCCCAAAGAATAAATGTAGGTATTCTAATATATGAGATGTATTCCTGCCCTTTGATTTACAATACTCCTTACGAAAATGTACGAGGGATATATAAATGAAAATATTCTTGGCATGATGTGATGCCTTTTAGCATGACATTGGCGCAGCCATTTTCTAAAAAATGTGACGTACTAGTTGAGGTTGTACATGAAAGATTTCTTTAATCAATAACAAAATCTTTACTTTTGTATTAGAAAACAGGGGAACAATAAATTGTAACTGGTTCATTTAAAAATACTAAAATAGAGTAGTTGACAAACTTATTTATTCATGAGAAACTTTTACCCCCAGAAGAGCACTAATTTAATTATGATTTGTGTTCTTGAAATTGTAGTACAAAGAGTAATAGCAGGTGAATAAAATGATTCTTCACCTCACACACCTGGGAAGGAAGTATCCATATATTTGAATACATTTACTTGATAAATGACTTCACATAGGTCTTAGCTTAATCAGAAAATGCCCATGCCCATGCCGTGCTGAGAAACTGTACATTATTCTTGCTTTATGCCTCTCTCATACAATCTCATACATCTCATAAAAAAAATGGAATGATTTTCATGCATAAATCCTGCTGTACAGCACAGTACCGGCGAAAGAGAGGGAGAGAGAGAAAGAGACCAAACAGGATTTAAATGAACCTGCATGATATGTTGTGTGTGTTTCGGAATTAATAAGACTATGATCACGATGATCCTCTGAACAAAAGGCCCTCTGTACCCCCATCCCCCCCCCCCCGCCCTCGAAGTACAAAGTTGCTTACAATAATACAAAAGAGTTGTCCAAGTGCAGGTATAATTATGATGAACAATTATCATTTTTTACATGCGAGTGTATGCCAAGAGTATTATCAAGAGCTAGATAGTGGCAGTGAGCCGATGTGATATTTGAGCTCGGCAAATCTTCTGACGTGCTATATTTAGGTCGATCCAATTTTTTACCGGAACATGTGGAGCGCGGAGAGATCCTTTTAGTACCGTTTCATCGTTCATACTCGCTATTGAAAAATAATAAGTATATAGTTTTATTTGATGAGGTAAATCTCATTTACCCGAAATAATAATCACGGCGGCAGGGGGTGGTGGTGTTTTAAAGAGGGGGAGAGGAAAACCATTCTGGAAACTAACATTTTTAATTTACCAATTAAAGGGGGAGGAGTGACCATTTTTCAAATTAGTAGATTAACACTTTAAACATGCTGGATTCAGCACTATAAATAGGTATAGCACACCAAAAATTAGTATAAAAAAACACATGTTATTTGATGATTGCAAATGATCAAGTTTTATGAAAACCTTAAAAAACAAAAAAACAGAATTGAAATAGGTCAACGCGTTGTGATTTTATACCATTTTTTTAAAAATCGCAAAATTACCGAAAAACCTGCCAGAAATGGTCAAATTGGCAAAAAAGGCAAAATTCGACAAAGTTGACAACTTAATTCATCACTTTCTTGGACACAAATAATAAATTAAAGTATCAGACACTAAAATACCATCTCTGGGTAAAAAATACAAAAAAGAAAATTCATATACCTATTACCGTTTTGAAAAAAGAAGCCAACAAAATAAGTAATTTTTGTCATTTTTGCGAATCTGCAGATATGAAAAAGTTGTGAAAATAACCGCCTAATTAATATGCGCATATTTAATTAAATCAAAACCGAACATGATACATCAGTAAAACCTATGTATATCAGACAGGTATGGAAATATATTTAATTTCAAACATAAACAAATCATGAATATTCATAAAATATGCAAATAAGGTCAATTCAGCTAATTATATATATAAACAGGAAAGTCAAACTGTCCATTTTGTTGGCATTTTTTAAATCATATATTTATAGATCATATTTACACCAAATATTAACATTAAATTCCAAATATTTTAGCAATGCCAATAAAATATGGCGATGGAAATTACTTGGATCACCGTCACAGCAATTTCCTTATGTGTTTCACAAATTATTCAGAAAAACCGATCAAATGATAAGAATTTGCAGATTTTCAGCTACATTACAGTGTATTTGGCTTTTAAAAGATGTCAGATTTGAGGGTTTATGACGTTTTTCTGAGAAACCATTGAACAGGCCATAACATTCCACAGAGACTGAATTTCAAAGTAAAACAATATTTGAGGACACCAATTTAACTGTGGCTATCCTGAGTGTAAACAACAAATTGATTCAATGAGTGAAACATATAAGGATATTGCATTTTTTGAAGGGGAGTTTCAAAATGGAAAAAGAGAGACGACATATTTCAATCAAGTAATAGATTACAAGGGGAAAGACTGCTTTTTAGAGATTACAAGTGGATGGAAATATAACTGACAATGAAAAGGGTATCGTACAAGAAATCAGGAAGTTTTATTCTAATTCGCATGCTGTATCAAAAGCTGGATCATGTGAAAATGTTAATCTTTTCCCTACAAACTTACCCAAATAAACAGAATATCAGAGATTGTATTGAAATGTTAAAAAGAAATGCAGTTAATAAATCTCCGGGAGATTTTAGAATTTAAAACTACATTCTGGCAGGTAGTTGGTGATTTATTTTTTAATGTATTCAATGATTTCATGAAATTGAAGAAATTATCTCCTTCTCAAAAACAAGCAATCATTACACTTACACAAAGGGATGGTAAAGATCCCAAATTTGTGCAGAAGGTTCATTTCCTCCTCAGGGTAGGCTTTCTGTCGGCACTGCGACTACGTTTCCATTTGGAAAGAAAGTAAACATTTTAAATATGTAGGGTATATATTTCACATTAGATCCCTACGTTGCTAAAAAGATAAATTATAAAGAGATTTTGAGCAAATTAAAGACATTGTTAAATCATTGGAAACAAAGAGATATTCAATTAATTAGAAGAATCCACTTATTAAAAACATACGCCTTTTCTAAACTAATGTATGCTCTTTAAATCCTGTACCTTAATGTGTTTTAGCAGAAATTGATCAAATTTGCTTTAATTTTCCTTAGCGATGTAAAGAAAAAAGAAAAAGAAGCACGTTGTATTTTGGTTACACGCCAGGAGGATTAAAAATGCTTAATTTTTAACTTTTGTGAATGTGCAACAAGCGAAGTGGATTAAAAGAGTTATACTAGGCTAACTGGAGATCAGAAAAGTCAAATGTAAAAAAAAAAATGTTGTTGTTGTAAATATTTGCCTAACATGATCGATATTCAAATACCAAAATACTATCACTTATTGTTACAAATTTGGCTCGATATGAATCAGTTTATTAAAAACGTTACAACTAATACAAGAAATCTAATCATTTAAATAATAGGCTTATTCATAATAAGAGAGTAAAAAAATATAGATGTAAAAGTATCATTATCATTATCTTGATAAGTTACTAACGGAAGAAGAAATATCACCTCTCAAAGAAATCTACGCTAATACACCTAAATAATGGAAAAAGACCTGTCTGATCTTACCCCCCCCCCCCCCAAAAAAAAAAACTGATCGAAATATCGGTCAGCCCCCCCCCCCCCCCCCCCCGGGGAGTGCCGCCTCATACAGAAGAAGATTTTCGATAACAAACACTTCATATTTCACATCATTGTTTTATACACATTGTGTATGTAGCGGCGTGAAACTTGTATAGCGCCATCTGTAGCGATAAGAAAATTTGTGCAACAGAAAGCCTGGTAAAAGGCGTCAGACTTGATGTTTGTGACCACAGAGTTCTTGATTTTGCTCCGGATGAACATAAAGTTGGTAAGTTATGATACATAATTCCTGTAGATAATTGATTTACCGTCAATTATAGGAAACTAGTTGTTTCATGCGATTTGTTTGTTTACTGTAAATTATGTGCAAATCAGTGAACTGATTTGGATGGTTAAGGTAACGTTTTCTATATGATGCAATCAGTTTACAGTGCACTGTATTACCAGGGTTACAATACAAATGTGTGCTATTAAGCAGAGGGGGTTGAACCAGGAAGCTGTGATAAATGGAGATCCCGTCCAAGAGGCCCCTATATACCAAATTGAACCAATTGATTGGCATTTACTTGCAGGCCCTACTCTGCAAATTTATATTTATTTCACCTTATGAAAATGTTTGTTCTTCTTTTTTCTAAATCACCGATTAAAATGCTCTGAATGCTGCAACTCTAAACACATTATATTTACCAGTAATTTTACCAGGTACATACTCTATAACAAATATATGAACTTTGACCTACATTCAGATCAAAGTAAACCACATGTCCATGCGCAGCTTAAAAAGCCGAACTGTCTTTTACCTCTCTACAGTTTAAAGTTCTACATTATTGACCTTTCTTGCAGGTTTATAACTGACCCTTTGATAGAACATAAATTCACATTCTGATACATCTTGTGCCAAATTGTCTTAAAAACTCATATTTATAGCACCAAAATGTATATTTTGTTTAAAGAGTATTTTCTTATCGGTGAATTTAAAAACACCTTATATTTTTCATTTTGTCTTCAAGGACACCATGAATTTCCTCCAAGTCCTTGTAGCTATGATTTTTTGACGACGACATAAGATATTTAAAGTTGTTGGGACCAAAACTTTCCAAATTTGTCTGATGTTGCAAGTTAATATCTCCCAAAGAGTAAATAATATGAAAATTAGATATTTGAATTCCATGTATATCCGAAAAAGAAGGATTTTTGATAAATTTGTATTAACATGTTGTGAGATAAAAGTTTGGTGTCGAAGTATTCGCTTCACTGTATGAGTTATTGGTGAGTGTTAATTTCATAACAAAATACTTAAACTGCGTATTTGGTTAAATGATATTATCATAAGGAAAGTATAGAAATGCTGGTGCTATAGATCTGAAGTTTTTAAGATAATCTGGCACAAGGTGTAGTACAACGTGAATTTATGTTCTGTCAAAGATTCAGTTTTAAAACTGAAAAGTCAATAATGTAGAACCTTAAACTTTAAAGAGGTTTATCATATAAAAAGTATTTCGGCTATTCAAGCTGTGAATGGATAATGGGTTTACTTTGTTCATTTATTACAGAATATGTACCTGATAAAACTAGTGGTACATGTAATTTTTACGTTTTAGAGCTTTATTATTCAAAGCATTTTAATTTGGGGATTCAGAAAAAGGAAAAACAAACATTTTCATAAGGTTAAAATAATTGTTAATTTAAAGAGATTTCAGGGAATATTGGATTCAAGTTGTACTTTAGGAAGCTTGTATTGAGTAATGGTCAATTTGTTGTCGTGGTTTAAATAGCAAGACAGGAGTGCATCTATTTGAGTTCAGTTATAGTAATTTTATTTAGATATGAATATTCATGAGAAACCATACTCTATTGATTATTCAGAGATATTAATGCAAGATTTGCTTTAAAGAGCTGAATTTGATCAGATGAGCATTAGCACATGGGATTGTTTACTACAAATGAATTTGTTAGGCCTATCTTTGTGACATTAATTTGTCAACTTATGTATTTTTTCTGACATTGGAGGTTACTACTGAACCAAAGGAAGTTGAATGTTAGATTCTTAAACATGTTGATATCTGTGTCATCAGAATAGAGAAGATTTACAATAAATCTGGAGAACTAATAGCAAACTAAGTTTTCCAAGCAAAAGTATTTAAAGTGAATGTAGTACTTTTGCATATTCACTATGGCAGTTGATTATTCAGATAATATATTTTGGCATGATCACTAGTTATGAAAAGAAAACACATCAAACAAATGTCTTTTATTTATAACAGATCATCGTTAATTGTGAAGATCACTTCACTTAACAATGTGTATTTTCTTTCTGTTTCCATTACAGATTAACTAACTTGGAAAGGAGTGTGACATTAAAACTCTAAACCTTTATGCAATAAGCGATGTTGCGATTTTTAAACTTCTGAGTCCGCTATATCTTCACTCATCCAGTCGCCATTTATGTCAGTTCTAGGTACTGTGTAGTTTACCTGTCTGACCAGTTTTTGTTAATCAGTTCACGCGACAGTCTGAATAAGAGAGACATTGAGCGATCGGGACTCGGATACAAGCCCATTCAGTCATATACAATAGTTCTCCACCCACCTAATAAAGAGATGGCCGAGCTAGTGGAAATCCCCCGGTTCTTGAATGTGTAATAGTTTGGATAACAATACACATTTCGCAAAGGGAACATATTGTATGCCTCTTACCAAGAGGCATTGGGCAGTGACGTAGGTAAGTGGCCTAGTTAGCTAGTTATCTTCTAGAAAACATGTTTACAGTCTATACAGGGGCTATTGTGATAAAGTCATGAATTAGGTTTTAAGAATGATCATCATCAAGATCTCAATATTTTTCATATTTTCAACGCTCTCCATTTAACAGGACTTTTAGAGCGTGCTTAAAACTGTTCAAAAATAGGTGACATTTTGACAGGACTTTTAAGTTGGTTCCATACTCTAATTCCAGAAATTAGAGGACTATTTTTTATAAGTGTCCTAAATTTGGGTACACACAATGCATCCCTTACAGCATGTCTTGTGTTGTGATCATGGAGTGAATTAACATGATGTAAACCTTTAATACACAATGTTGTAGGTCTGAGCCTGTTCATCGATCCAGGATTCTTCCATGGTTACTGCTATTTGTGGATGTCCGTTCAACAAAAGTGTGCCAATATTTTGTATAAAATCTAGAGAAAAATAAAATTGAAAACAGCTAAAAATGTGTTAATTAAGGTAACGAAACAATCCACAACCAAACAGAAATCATATTAAGTATGATTATATTAATTTGTCATCACCAAAATGTATCAATATTTTGTATCCTGATTAAGTTCTTTGTAAACCACGTCTGAGCCTTCATTTCACATGTGACCGAACAAAATGTCCATGTTGAACAGTGGACAAGTAAATACACTAAATTTGAATTGAATCAAGGTTCCCAATTACTGTTATTTCTGTTAGAATATTTGCATAGGTTGAAAATGAATCTGGGTCACACATACCTAAACACACGCCCACCCAATTCTCTAATTTATGAAATGCACAGTGTTTGCATGAATGACAAAGTAGGCATATATTTGCAATTATAACAACTTCCCGTATTCGTCCAGTAGTTTTTTTCACCTCGGTGCCAAAATGGCCATCATTTTTAAGCAATAGGTATGATAAAACTATGTGGAAAAGGTGTTCATAATTGTGTAAAAGCTCACACGAATACCCAATCAGGAAATCATGCAAAGTTTAATTGATTGTTAGAAAGGGACGAGGCCTGCATGCCAAGGACAGATTTTAAGGGTGTAGATGGGCCAACTTTTCGTATGAATGGTGGCAAGGGTACCATCACCGAGACAAGCCCAGGGTAAAATATACCCTACACTGAATATTGCTTTATCTGGCCTTACAGAAGACTCTATGCTCTTGATGAATATTGAACTCTTACCCACAGGGAGAGTATGGGATTATGTTGAACATGAATCATGATTCGAGACTTTGTAATTTAGAACTCTGTAGATATTTACTGTAGCCTCTCTATTTTTATATACGGTGTGTAATACACATACTATGCTAGATATAAGATATTGCCTCTACCTTACGGGTTTTGATGCAACTAATCATATAAAAACAGGTCTTAAACTGGGAGAAGTCTTGGAACATATGGATTTTGTGGTGTTTGAGGGCATGTACTCTGTACCAGGAAAGTGAACCTAAACAAATTGATGCAAAGTCTTGAAATGCTACATCTTGACTTCCCTTGTGTATGGAGTCGAAACATGGACCCTATGCATGGAGACAGACCGATGAATGTATGGTAAAGTAAATCTGCGCCTTGTGACAAACGGAAAATTTCAGTCCAATTATTTATACTACCGTTATGCTACGCCAGTTGAACACAAAGCGGGCTACTAAATTACCACCCCCCCCCCCCCCCCAAAAAAAAAAAAAAAAATTATAAACACAATGCTGTTCAGACATGTCTGTACTTTGCCCATGCTGTGTTATTCAGTATATTGAGGAGAAGGACAATAGGTAGGGTTCGAAAGAGGTAAGCTACGCCAGTCAAACACAATGCAATTTTCACACAAAAAAAAGATAATCGGATGATATGATTTTCAAGGACTATCTGTTTACTACTTTATCGCAGTGAGTAGATACCCATAACATGCTCCAATATACTGTATTAGATGTTATACTCACCATTCTAATTCATTTTCCTTGAAACCTGTTACTGAGGAGGACATTTTCGAGATTGTTCGTAGTTTTAAAGCAAATAAAAGTGCCGAACATGATGATATTGAACCGAAGATTGTGAAAAAACTATACATGTTTATACCAAGCACTTTTGTCATATTTTCATAAGTATTTTTTTTTCAGGACAACTTCCAGATCAATTCAAGTTAGCAAAAGAAATACTCCTTCATAAGATTTTTTTTGTAAAGAAATAGTACAAGAGTAGAGACCTATTTCTATGGTGCACCCGCAAGCCTACTGTATATTTCTATCTTGCCAATGCTTGCCAACGTTTTAGAAAAATCGTTCTACAAACGTTTTATTAACTACTTGAATACGAATAATATTTTATGTACTAAATAATTTAGATTTCGTGAAAAACATTCAACATCCATTGCTCTAATTGAATCGTTAAATCTTGTAACTCAGGCATTTGAAAATAAGATTATTCCTGTTGGTATATTCCTTGATTTATCTAAAGCATTTGACTAAATTAACCATTCCATATTGTCACACAAGCTATCTTTTCATGGCATACGGGGTAATCCGCTCGAATGGTTCAAAAATAACCTTTTGAGTAGTTGTTAAATGTAATAGTGTTTGTTGTCAACCTCAGATCCTTACAACATGAGTACCCTAAGGCATTGTTCTTGGCCCTTTATTGCTGTTGTTGTTTATAAATGATTTTCACTTTGTGTCAGACCAGCTAAATGTTATTTTATTTGCTGATAACACCAATATATTATTATCAAGAAAAAATGTGCAATATTTAAATGAGAAATAAAACCAACAACTGAGTAAAGTTTGCAAATGGTTCACTGCTGCTAAACTGTGTACTAATATGAAAAAGACTAATTATATGGTATTCAGTAGAATAAAGGTTAGAGGTGACCTTATTGAATTGGATGTAAAATTTGATAATATGTTTGCACAGCAGAGTTAATTCAACTATGTTTTAGGAGCATATAGATAAGTCCCTTTCTTGGAAAAGTCATGTCAAAATATGAAGACAGACAGATTTTGTTAAATACTCAGTTTCACATTCACATTGTACGGTAGTATATCAGGACAAATATGTTTTGCATATAAAATTGCAATATGGGAGAAATACAAACAAAATGATTTTCTCGGAATGGTCTTAAGTGGCTCTTACCCCTCTTGCAAACGAACTAAAATGAATCTAATCCCTTTTTGAGAAATAAAAAATGTTAACTTTGTGATGTGAATTTCAATTTTTCTTTGGTATCCTTTTATAGAGCTACTAAAAATCAATACATTAAGACAAAAAATATTGATGAAAAAAGGACCTAACCTCTTTTGGAAATGAGCTCTTCATTTATCGTATTTGGTATTATTCGAAAGTGCATTTCCTTGCGGTCAGTTTGACACCATTGTGATATGCGCGCAATGTACACACTAAGAAATAGGAGTACATTTGGGTGCAGACCGCTGCTACAATAGGGAATTTTAGATTGAATGGACGAGAACACGACGAACGCCGACTGATCATACGTGTCAACGTACTCAACTGCCCATGTTGACTACAATTAGAAATCTTTTAGATTTCACCCGAGGATATACATGAATGCAGGAAGTAACACTATGAACATGACGGCCTAAGAAAGAGGACAAAATTTACAGTTCCTCATTCTACCCTCAACAATTGCTGTGGTAGGTAGACAAAAGAACATCCCTTCACTGCTATTATGTAAAAATGTGTAGAACAGGTGAATATGCATGTGACACCTGTTCTACACATTTGTACATAATAGCAGGGAAGGGATGTTCCTTTGTCTAGGTGAGGAACTGTATACATTTTAAGCGCACGCGGCATACTATAGATTAAGGAAAATCAAGGTTGACGCATTCTCGATCGCCGATTGAGACGACGTGACGCGTGCGCAGTGCCTTAAAATGACGTCACACGTTGCAGTCAAAGCTGTCGACGTGCAAATCTAAAAGTCCCTATTAGCAGCCACCTATAGGGTGCAAGTCTGCAATAGGTGGCTGCTATTGTAGCAGCGGTCTGCACATCTAAGGGTGCAAGTCTGCAAAAATTGCACCCTATAGGTGGCTGCTATTGTAGCAGCGGTCTACACCCGATAGGGTGCAAATTTGTACCATTATTTGTTAGTGTGTACTGCAAGGTTTGAACGGGCTTTTCATTACATTTTATTTGTCGATGTATCAACAAGCAGCAATGGCCAACGACTGTCGTTAAAATTGTCAGAAGTTGTTGCTAAGATTGTTTTTCCCTAAAAAAAATATGACCATTATACATCAAGCTACATACAATTATGATCGACAAACATGATATTGTCTTGAAAGCAGTCAGAAAACATTGGAACTATTTATGATTGTATTATCTACTTACTTCTTCTATATATTTTGGTTTAATATAAAATATGCATTATCATGTTTCTTCTATTCTCTTGATAATATTTAGTAACGAATCGACAGTTTAAGTAGACATGTTGGATGTATTAAAGCAATAAATCCTGGGCACATGACGTACTACGAAAGATTATTATAAGAAGAAGAAGCATACACATAGTCATAATAATAATAATAACAATATCACGAATAATAATAATAATGAAAATAAAAACGATATCAACTATCATAGTAACAAAACCATTGGTAATAAATATTACAATGAAAACAGTAATGATTATTATGATACTGATGCTATTACTACTACTACCTGCATTAGAAAAAAGAAGATGAAGAAAAAGGGTAAGGAGAAAAATAATTTTCAGGATATTAGTAATTCTATTCCGTATGATTGAGGCATACACATACACATTACAAACTGGTTAGGAGGAAGTAAGCGAGGTAAAAGGAAGGCAATGACAATAGAGAGAGAGAGAGAATATGGCCCCGTTTCAAATTCAGTTTTCTTTAGATTATTCGACCCAGAACTAATGAATATTTAGTTGCCATGTGATTGCCATGTGACGCTACATAAAAGAGGTGCCATAGTGTCATCTTTTATCATCAAGT